CTCTTATGTTACTGGCGGGACTGAAAATGCAACCATCATTTTCTTCCTGAGCTCTTTCTTTGTCTACAACCAGTATAAGGACACCCAGTGAGCAAGCTGTGATTTGGCACCTCAAGGAAACTCTCTGGGACCCTCTCCCCACCTGTCCCTTTGAGGCTCCTTGGCTTTCTTGTCAAGCTGGCGTGCATCCCTCTGCCAATTCCAGCCTGGCCACCTAGAAAGAACAGTGCCAGTTTCCCTGAGTGAGTGTGTTGCTTGCACCAGCAAAACCTCCCAGCGTTTTTCATTTTCTTTCCTAGCCCTATCTCCCTAACCCTTAGGTGAGACTCCATGGGCCAGAGTCCATAGTCTTAACCACAGCGACCACTCCCATTGCCCCTGATACTGACTAATTACCCTCTGCAGGCCCAGGGACTTTACTCTTGTCCCGTAGAAATGAGCTCATTTCCTAAAAGGCCCTTGGCCTCTTGTTCCTTTCAAGTGTGCTCAGACTTACATGAACCCCCAGAGTGGCCCAGTTCAGGTTCCATCTGAGACTCTGCTAAATGTCCCTCATCTCCCTTCATAGGCTTGAAGCGTCCCTTGAGCCATGAGACTTAGATCTCAGCTGCAAAGTGGAGCAGAGAAACAGGGCCATAGCTGACAGGGATGTGGTGGGGTCAAGGGAGGGTTATTATAAGAAAGGAGCTTGTATGCTAATGGGAATGATTCAGAAGAAGAGAAAAAAATGGTTGTTGTAGGAACATGAAACTAGACCATTGATCCCCTTTCCAAGTTCTGTCCTTTCATCTCAGAGCTGCCCAATGCCTATGAAAGTGGTTTATCCCAACTCTCCTATTAGCCCCTTGCCCTTGCGACATCATGAAGGAAGCACTGCCATTAAAGTTAGAAGGTTTGGGGATACTTGCCAGTTCTTCAGCTGAGTCACCCTCCCAAGACTCTCTGCTATGGCAATAATGTCTGCCATTTGTCAAAGCCCTGGTCTGTTTCAAGAGTCTGGCATATATTACCTTGAACCTTGACAAGCATTTAATGTTACCATCCCTTCAAGGAGACAGGGGTTCAGAGAGGTTAAGTTACTTGCTCAAGATCATAGAAGTCAAGATAGACCAAGATCCAGCCTGCCTCGGGGCGCCTGCGTGGCTCAGTCGTTAAGCGTCTGCCTTCGGCTCAGGTCATGATCCCAGGGTCCTCGAATCGAGTTCCACATCAGGCTCCCTGCTTGGCGGGAAGCCTGAATCTCCCTCTCCCACTCCCCCTGCTTGTGTTCCTGTTCTTGCTACCTCGCTCTCTGTCAAATAAATAAAATCTTAAAAGAAAAAAAAAAAAAAAGAAAAGAAAAGACCCAGCCTGACTCAAATCCTTACCATGGCTCTCACTCTGCTGTGTTACCTTGAGTGAGGTACTTAATCTCCTTGGCTCTTATTTCCCTCATCTGTAAAATGGGAATAATAGTAATTCTTACCATAAAGTCTCAGTGAGCATTGAATGAAATCATGACTGTAAGAAGTGTCTTTCATAGTGCCTGGCACAGATTAGGTTTTCAATTAGCAGACACATCTGTTGGTGACAAGCTAAGCTGACATGTCAGAGAGAGGCATGCAAGCTTCTCATGACCTTGAGAAGTTAACCTCTGAGCCTCATGGCTCAGAAAGAGAGTCTTCTGTGTGAGGGAATGATTCCAACCATTCTTGTTCTAGGCTTAGTGACTGGAAGAAAAGTATTTCCCTCACCCAGGGGTATTTGCCCTTTTTCCAGAGGGCCTGCCTACCCCAAATAATAAATTGCTGGCAGATGAGAAAAGAGGGTATTAGAAGGGGAGGAGGAAGAAAGGAGGAAGGAGGGGAGAGCAAGAGAAAGAAGGGAGGCCTTTCTGGAAACGCTCATGTTAGACCTGGTCAGCAGCTTCCTGGAAAGCACAAAGAAGTGGCCTTCTATGATGTATCTAATCACTAATGATCATGATCTGAGCAAAGATGAAAAATTTTCTATCAAGTCATGGAACTCTACATCTGCACAAATATGGATGCATCTGTACATCTCAGTAGACTCTTAGACTTAGATCACCTCCTGGAACTGGAAGGGAGCTTACCTAATCAGACCTCATTTCAATAAAGAGGAAATTGCGTTTCAAAAAGTTTTAGTGAATATTCAAAGTCACACAGCTGCTAAGTCTTTCTTTTCTTTTCTTTCTCTTTTATTTAATTAGAAGTATTTCCCCCAAATCTTCAGATTGAGCTTGTGGTACATCAGGACCCCCAGATAGACCTCCTTGTTCTGGTCACCATGACACTATAGGAAATTTCATGAACTCTTCACACATTCTCCATTCACAAGTTTCCTTTATCCCCTCAGTTTCATTTCTACAGGTTACGCCCTCATCTTAAGGATTGAACACAAAGTTGGGCACATAGTAGGCATTTGATACATAATCGGTTAACTGGCTTTGATTCTTACTCATTCATGTATGTTTTCTAAAACACGTTGGTCATACATTACACAGAGAATAGTGCATGCTAAGTATCATCAGGATCCCAGCCAAGAGAAGTTCACAGGACACTGGCAAAGCGGGGAGCCCTGCACTGCATGCTTAGTCTCCCTCTACCCTCCACCCTTTCAAAGCTGGAGCAAAGCCAGCTCTTTCAGGAAGACAGCCTTGTTTACAACATGGGAACCAACAGAGGTACGGATGTGGCCTCATATTTCTGTTGGGCAATACAACTTCTTCCCATGTCGGAAGTGACTGGATTTCTTCAGAAGCACCTTCCTACTTACCTTCTCGATCTTACTTCTCCCACCCTCCCACTCCCCCGAATCTGAACCTGGCTAAAAGAAGGGGGTGATCATTCTGGGATAATCCACTATCACTCACCTCCAACACACACATACGCATCCACACTGTGAGTTAACTAGAAATCTGATCAATGTGTTTTCCAGGTTGACATTTAAGATGTGTTGGGAGAAAGCTTTAACAATGCTTATCTTTATGGAAAGGAAGTAAAGAATAGGAAGGGAAACTTTGTTTTTATTTTGTGTGCTATTTGAATTTTTACTGATACCCTGTCATCATGATGGTGGACTGAGGAGGCATGAGAAACAGCGCACCCACCCACACACACACACACACACAAACACACACACACAATCTATGTAGAAATATGTTAGATTACATGTATTTTTAAGTTTTTAAATAAATGCCAGAGATCAAAAGCAAAAGGAGAGAGAGAGATCTAAGGGCCAGATGGAAAGGAACTTAGAAATGTATGGACTTATCAGGAAGGAGTTAAAGTCAGAGGAACCCAGAAGGATGCTAGAACTGGTCATGCACCTCAAGGATGGGAATGGTAACAGCAGCAGGTCTACAGACCCCACACACCAAGAAAAGGCTAAGAACCAGGAAAGACTTGGCCCACACTTGTCTGGAGATAGAAAAACACCAGGTAGCTCTGAGACATGACCGGAAAGTGAGCTGCTTGCCCTAGGCCAAAGGGGAAAGGGAGCCACCTGGGGAACAGTCCCGAGTCCCAAGCTGGAGTAACAAATGGTGAGGACACAAATCTGCCCTTTGAAATGGTATGGAAACCCAAGACCAAGAAATAACAACAATAACAAAAAATGCTCTGAACCATGTGACCCAGTAGAGTTCCAGCAAGGACGGCCATGACACTGTCCCTGTGTAGACTTCTTCATAATCTAAAACACATGCAAGACTCCCATGGAGATAAAAAAAAAAAAATGTTCTTCAATAGATGAGCTCACAATCAAATATTACAAAGACCTAATACCACTACAATCAACAGTCAGCCAACATAACAAATGGGAGAATTTAGACCTGAGGAACTGAATATAACAGAACAATCTGATTGTGCCCTTAAAATAAATATATTTTTCAAATCCAGGGGAATTTTATATCAAAAATGGAAGATTGAAGGAATGTTTTTATCTCTGCTCCCACTCAAAAATCCCCTAAAAATGACACTAAAAGGACTTTTATTTTATTTATTTATTTATTTATTTATTTATGATAGCGAGAGTGAGCACGAGCTGGTGGCGAGGACAGAGGGAGAGCGGGGCTGCAGGGCTTGACCCTAGGACCCTGGGATCATGACCTGAGCCTTAACCTACTGAGCCACCCAGGCACCCCAACACTAAAGGGATTTTTAAGGCATAACCCCACAATGTACAAGAACAAAGAAAATTTGAGAGAAAATATAAGAGTTTTCTTTAACAGAAATCAGAAAGTAGATGTTATTGGACCAGGAGAAAATGAAGGGAGCTAAAGAAATCGTCGCAAAAACCGTAATATTTTCAGAAAGGTAAGAGGAAATATTGCAACCATGAGGCAAGAAAGAGATGTTATAAAAGAGAACCTTGGGGAACAGAAAAAAAGTCTATTGGAAATTTAAAATATGATATCAGAAATGTTAAATTCCAATTAACAGGTTGAACAATAAAGTTAAGGGTAACTTCATGAGAAGTAGAAAGATGAAGATACTGAAAAACAGGCAAAAAGTGATAACAAAAAATGTATTAGTGAATCAACCTTGGGGAGTTCAACACCCAGAAAAGGAATCCTAAAAAGAAGAGAAGAGAGAAAATAGAGGGTAGAAAATTATCAAATAAATAATACTAGAAAATTTCACAGAACCTGAGTCTCCAGATTAAAAGGATTCACCAGCAAAATGAATGAGAAAAGAACCCCCACCAAGGCGCATCATCGTGCATTCTAAAATTAAGAAGATAAAGAAAATATCCTAAAAGTTTCTTTTTTTTTTAAAGATTTTATTTATTTATTTGACAGAGATATAGAGCGTGCACAAGCAGGGCGAGTGGCAGGCAGAGGCAGAGGGAGAAGCAGGCTCTCCTCAGAGCAGGGGGAGCCCGATATGGGACTTGATCCCAGGACCCCGGGATCATGACCTGAGCAGAAGGCAGTCGCTTAACCAGCTGAACCACCCAGGTGCCCAAAAGTTTCTTTTTTTAAATAATCTTCACACCCAACGTGGGGTTCAAACTCACAACCCTGAAATCCAGAGTCACACACTCTACCAACTGAGCCAGCCAGGAGCCCCCTAAAAGTTTCTAGGAGAAAAGTCAGTCTCTTACAACAGATCAAGAATTAGATCAGCAGTCTCAACAGCACCCTAGAAGCTAGAAGAAATTAAGAGACAGAAAAATTCTGAAAGAAAATAAACTCCAACCTAGAATTCAATACTTGGCCAAAATACCAATCAAGTGTAAAAGTAGAATAAAAGCTTTTTTGGGGCGTGCCTGGGTGGCTCAGTCAGTTAACCATATGCCTTCAGCTCAGGTCATGATCTCAGGGTCCTGGGGTCAAGCCCCATGTCCGGCTCCCTGCTCAGCAGGGTCTGCTTCTCTGTCTCCCTCTGCCCTCCCCTCCAGCTCATGCTCACTCTCTCTTGCTCTCTCTCTATCCCAAATAAATAAATAAAATCTTTTTTTAAAAAAAGCCTTTTTTGGAAATTCAAGGTCTCCAAAAAGTTATTTCCCATATATCCTTCCTTAGCAAAATCTAGTAATCCAGCAAAATAAGGGATAAACCAAAATAATGCTTATTATTGATGACATTTATATAGTACCTATTGTATGCTAGGCATTCCTCTAAATATCACAGGTGTGTATGTGTGCTCATTTAATTTAATTTCCATAGGAAATAGCTGAACATTGTTATTATCCACATTTTATAAGGTAGTAGAGGGAAGCTAAGTAATCTGCCCTTGGTCACAAAGCCTGTAAGCACTTAAGAAAGAGGAAGATTCAACACACATTCATGAAAGGAACTTCCTCAACCTGGTAAGGGTCCTCTACGAAAAATCTTCAGCTAACATCATATTTAATAGAGAAAGAGTGAATGCTTAACTCCTAAGACTGGGAACAGGGCAAGGATGTCCACTTTCACAACTTCTATTCAGCATTGTACTGGAGGTCCTAGCTAATGAATTAAGGCAAGAAAAATAAATAAAAGGCTTTTTAAAAAGGAAGAAATAAAACTGTGTTTATTCTCAGATGACATGATTATGTACATATAAAACCCAAAAGGATCTTTAAAAATAAAACCACTAGGGGCGCGTGGGTGGCTCAGTCGTTAAGCGTCTGCCTTCGGCTCAGGTCATGATCCCAGGGTCCTGGGATCAAGCCCCACATCAGGCTCCCTGCACAGCGGGAAGCCTGCTTCTCCCTCTCCCACACCCCCTGCTTGTGATCCCTCTCTCACTCTCTCTCTCTCTGTCAAATAAATAAACAAAATCTTTTAAAAAATTAAAAATAAATAAAACCACTAGACCTAATAGAATTTCCTGAGCTCCCAGAATATAAGGTCAATATATAGAACTCAATTATATTTATACGTACTGGTAAGAAAAAAACCTGGAGGGGCGCCTGGGTGGCTCAGTCGTTAAGCGTCTGCCTTCAGCTCAGGTCATGATCCCAGGGTCCTGGGATCGAGTCCCACATCGGGCTCCCTGCTCAGCAGGAAGCCTGCTTCTCCCTCTCCCACTCGCCCTGTTTGTGTTCCCTCTCTCTCTATCTTTCTCTCTGTCAAATAAATAAATAAAATCTTAAAAAAAAAAAAGAAAAAACCTGGAAAAAATTAAATATCATTTATAATAGTATCCAAATAACCACAAAATACTTAGGGATAAATTTAACAAAAGATGTACAAGATCTGTGTACTGAAAACTACAAAACATTACCTAGATAAATTAGATAAGATGTGAAAAATTGGAGAAAAGTACCATGTTATTGATTAGAAAACTCAATATTGTTCAAATGTCAACTTTCTCCAAACTCATCTGCAGATTCAACATAATCCAAATTAAAATCCCAGTAGGATAATCTTATAGAAATTGGCTATCAGATTCTAAAATTAATCTGGTAAGGTAGTTAAAGCAATTTAGGAAAAAAATTTAAAAAGCACAGGCCCGAAAAGTAACCGGTCCAGATTGAAAACAGGACTAGGAAGGACTCCAGGAGAGAGGTCTCCAAGAAAGAAAAATATATATATAGGTTATCTGATGAATGTGAATGTATTGAGGGAGACATTTGAGAATGATGTAATAAAAAGTAATGATGAAAATCCTATTATTAATTCCAGGGAAGACAGAACTTGTACAAAGAAAGGAAATGTAAACATTGTGTCCAACAATGAATAATGTCTTATATAGTCATTATAACAAAAACACTGAACGCTGATTTAACCAAAAAGTGTGATTATCTGTCCTGGGAGAAAGGGAGAGGCGGTATTTGTGTTTGCTTGGACAGGGTAAATGCTTGAGAGAGTTTGAAAAAATGTTAAATCCTCAGAAGCCAAAGGAGAAAGTCAATAAATGATATCTAAATCTGGGCGGGGGGGGATCAAGAGCCAGCTGAATAAGTATGATATTTAGAAATGTGTACACCACTATTAAATGAAACAGCTATGAGAGTTGAAAGTTGTTTCCTTCTCCCGCAGGGACTATGGCAGGAGGGATGCTGCTGATGTTCATTATAAGCTTTATAAAGCTATTTCACTTTTTTTTAACAATGTACATGAAATATTTTGATTAAAAAAACTAATTTTAGAAAGTCTGAAACATCGTCTATTTTATATATTTTTAATTCTTTTTTTGTTTTTTGGGGTTTTTTTTTTAAATTTTTTTTAAGGATTTTATTTATTCATTTGAGACACAGAGATACAGAGAGAAAGTAGAGAAAGCATGAGCAGGGAGAGAGGCAGAGGAAGAGGGAGAAGCAGGCTCCTCGCCGAGCCAGGAGCCCGATGTGGGGCTCGATCCCAGGACCCTGGGATGACCTGAGCCGAAGGCAGACGCTCAACCATCTGAGCCACCCAGGCGCCCCTATATATTTTTAATTCTTAAATTCATGTTTACCCTCAAGGTTGGAAAAAGAATCTTGAGTTTAAAAGCAGAGTCCCAGGTTACATAAAAGCAACTGTGGTGAGAACATAGCTGTTAGCCATTTGTGGCTTTCTAGAAGGGCCAAACCCAGAGATCTTTGGTCGCCCCAGCCTCTGCGTGGAAATAGCAAAAGGCTGTAGTCCATCATGATTTCTCAGTTAGTGGTCATCTCGGAGAAGACACATCTCGGGAAAGACCCTTGGACCAAAGAGGAGGTGGTCATTTTATTTCCTCTGAAAGTCCCTAGTTCAAATGCAGCTTGCAGGGAAAGGGACCATCTTAAACCCCTACAGATAAAACTCGGACTCTCAGTTAATGTTTTTGCTGAAACTAGTAAGAACGGGCCACTGGACTGGGGACAAGGGTGAGGAGGCCACGGTTGGTCAGAGGGATAACTAGTATAGGGGCAAGTAGTAGATTTCAACATAATTGCATGGAGGCTGGAAAACGTTAACCTAGCCCACAAAACAAATTTTCTTTTTTTAAAAACATTATATACTTTATTTTTTTTAAGTTTGTTCACTCATCATTCATTCATTTATTTTTAGTAATCTCTACAGCCAAGGTGGGGCTCAAACTTACCACCCTGAGATCAAGAGTCGCATGCTCTTTCCAGTAAGCCAGCCAGGTGCCCTCAAATCAAATTTTCAAAACTTACAAGCAGCAAGCATTGAACAGAACACACATCCACATCCCAATCCCTCCCCCACTCTATCCTTGATGTTCCCCACATCCCTAACCCAGTCCCATCCCCGGCTCACTACCGTCTCTGACACCCCAGCCCCCTCCCAAGATGCACTCCATCCCTGATCCCAGCCTCACCCTGGACACTGATCCGCTCCCTGAGGTGAAACATCTCCTTGACCTTGCCCTATCTAGTGGTTGAAACACTTGTTTTTGATATTTCAGGCTGCCCTGTTATTTCAGTACCCACATCCTGGCATTATTACAGATCTGAAACCCCAATCATTTCTGTGTTGAGCTCTACCCGGAGAATTACACCTTGCATTGAAAATCTAATGGAACAATGTTGCCCTTGTTCAAAGGGAGTTCTGACTACAGTTGGCCCTTAAACAACAGAGGGGTGAGGGACACGGACCCCACCATGCCATGGCAAATCTGTATGTAAATTCTTGACTCCCCAAAAACTTAACTGCTAACAGCTTCCTGTTGACCAGAATCCTTACCAATAACATGCATAGTAGATGAACACATATTTTGTATGTTCTATATACTATATTCTTACAATAGAGTAAGCTGGAGAAAATGTTATCGAGAAAAATCATGAGAGGGCACTTGGCTCACTCAGTCAGTGGGACATGCGACTCTTGGTCTTGGGATCATGAGCGCAAGCCCCGTGTTGGGGGAGTAGATTGTATTTAAAATTTTTTTAAATCATGATGAAAACAGATTTACAGTACTGTATTTATTTTTGAAATCCACATTATCAGTGGACCCACACAATTCAAACCTGTGTTGTTTGAGAGTCGACTATATAACCCTCCCTATTTAAAATACTTCCAAGTTATTTTATTGCTGTTTGATTCCCACTTCCCAGGTTACTAGCGAGGCCAAGCATCTTTTCAGATACATATTCGTCATTTGTGTTTCCCCAGACACAATATGGATCCATATTTACTTACTGAAGCCCCTGACAGAGTTGTCTTTGGGACATCAGAGGATGGAGGAAATGGACATTTAAGCTTGCAGTTGAGAGGTGGAAGGGCGTTAGGAGAAGGAGGGTGGGAGAGGAAGGGGAGAGTCCCAGACCCTGTTGCCAGTCCTCCTCCCTGGATTTCTTCAGCATTCTTCCGGCTTCTCTCCTGAATCAGATCTATCTCTTAGGGCTTGAGCCCTAACTCCTTTCTCATCAACCCACTTGGAGACCCTCAGCTGGACAGCCAAGGTACCTCCATCCTTGCCCCCAGAAAAGCATTTTAGACAATGCTCCCCAGAAAATGGTGAATCTACCAGTGATGTCTTTTTGCTCCAGCCACTAACTGGACTACAATAGCAGCCCCTGACATTCACTCCAGTTCTGACATCTCTCCCTGAGACTCACCACACTAGCACACTCATCCCATTCCTACACTTCCCCCCATACCTGGTCCCAACCCCACTGAACCTCCCTGAATCTCATTAACCCCAGCTCCAGCTTCTCCCCATTCTGGATCTCCCCCTGTTCCTGATATTCATCCTTTTCTGACCTTCCACCTTGTCCCAACCTGCCACCCCATCTCTGGCTCCCTGCCACATCACCTCTAACTCCAACCTCATCCCTGGTTCCACTCTTAACCTTGATCTAAACCTTATCTCTGAACTTCTCTCCATCCCCAACCTCAAACCAAATGAAACTTTTCCTTATAATTTCAGCTTTTATCATTAGGTATTTGACCCATTTTGAGTCAACTTTTGTACATAGTGTAAGGAAAGGGACCAAGCTCATTCCTGTGCGTGTGGATATCTGGTTTGCCCACACCATTTGTTGAATGACCATTCTTTCCCCATTAAATAGTCTGGGTGCCCCCTGTTGAAAATCATTGGCCATTTACACTTAAGCTTCTTTCTGGGCTCTTTATTCTCATCTGCTCCATCTGCCTAAGTGTGTTGAGCACACTTTTTGCCTCTTTGTCACATCAGATCCTACAACCATATTCAAAGGTGAGAACCAAGGGGGTGTGCGTGTGTGTGTGTGTGTCTCTCTCTCTTTTTTTAATCAGGACTACTTCCCAGGAGTCCCTGGACCCAGCAGACTTCCTCTTAAGCAATAGTGCCCTAGGGCCAGTTTGTACCTGCTTGTGAAAGCACTCATTACATTACTTGAAAACCCTTGAAATCGCCATGGCGGGAGCATTTATACTGGGCAACTCAGTAAATGCTACAAATCAGGACTTCTTTCCCCCAGGAGAGTGGTTTACCAGCACACCATTGCCCTGAAATCTAAGTAGTCCGAAGTGAATGGCAGGGCCACTCCTAGCCAAGGGAGTCTTCGAAAGTGAGTATCTGTCCTTCTCAGCCTCTCTCAAGGGAGGTGGGCTTTGCTGGCTAGCGAGAAAGGGACAGTCGGGGCAGCAGCTAATGCCATTCACCACTGATGCCTCCCCATGTAGGAACTTTCTGTAGTCACTTGAAGGAATGCCTTTTAAATGTCTTTAACTGCCTCAGAGAACAGAGTGCTGTGGGCTCAGCGGTAGGGTGGACTGAGCTCTAGCAGCTGACAGAGTAAGTATAGTCAGGCCTGGGGGACCAGGGCAGGCTTTCTAAACTGTACAACGGGCCTGAAAAGGGCACGGCCCCAGTCACTTCCTGCAACCACACCCGGGGGCTGCCTTGACACAGAGGCCGTGAACAGCCAGTGGACATGAGGCTCGGAACGGGATGCTGATGGTGAGGGAGGAGCCCCGAGGGGCTGCGACAGGGCCGGGGTGGGGGGCTTAGAAGGTAGTAGAAGTGTTTGCTGAAGAAGAGCCAACAAAGGAAGGCCTGCCGTCCTTGGACAAGTACTCCTTGCTGATGAGCCCATGGAAGGCCATGATCTTGAGGAGTCCATGGCGAAACTTCTGGCCAATGAAGGCGTAGATGAAGGGATTGAGGCAGCTGTGGAGGAAGCCCAGAATCTCGGTGGCATCCAGGGCCCGGCCAATGTCATTGCGGCGCTCACAAGTCTCCTTGATCACCCGGAGCCTCATGAGGGTGTCTGCGACCAGGACCAGGTTGTAGGGCAGCCAACAGAGCAGGAAGACAAGCACGACAGCGAAGATGACCCGCATGGCCCGGTGCTTCTGCCCCATGTGGGCCTGAAACAGGGTGCGCAGGGTGAGCCCATAGCAGAACAGCATGACCACCAGCGGCAGGAGGAAGCCAAAGGTCTGGGGCAGGGCCCGCATCACTATCCGCAGTTTTGTTGTATTGGCACCCATGTCCTCGTAGCAGACTGGGCTGGAGTAGGGGGGATTGACGGCCCTGCGGAAGACGAAGATGGGTAGGGACAGGATCAGGGACAGGGCCCAGATGCCTAAGCATATGAACTTGACCCAGTGCCGCTTCTGGGTCAACGTGCGTGTGGCATGGACAATGGCCAGGTAGCGGTCCACGCTGATGCAGGCCAGTAGTAAAATACCACTGTAGAAGTTGACTTCCTTCAGGAGCGAGACCACCTTGCACAGGGGTGTGCCAAAGATCCAGCCCTGTGCCTTGGAGGCGGCCCAGAGAGGCAAGGTCAGGGCGAAGAGCAGGTCGGCTATGGCCAGGTTCAGCAGGTAGACGTCAGTGACAGACTGGCTGACCCGACTATGTAAGACAACCAGTATCACTAGGGAGTTTCCCAGCAGGCTCAGCACGAAGACCAGGGCATAGATGACCACCACTGCATACTTGTTGTGTGTCTCATTGTCTATCCTACAGGGATTATATGTTTCTGTTGGTGGTGTGCCGCTGAAATTTCCAAATTCATCATAATCCCACTCATCGGTAGCATTCCATAGATCATTCATCAAGACAATCATGGTTCAACCTGGTTGAAAGATTCAAAGGGAAGAAATGTAATTTAATAATTCAGATTAAAGTCACTCATCAGGGATGGGAGAATAGTTACTGGGATGTCTTCTGCTTCTCTGTTGGTTTGGCGACAGGAGGTCCTTTCCTTCTCCTCTATTTTGGACTTCTTTAGAGGTCAATTTCATAGCATCATCGTTTGAGAAAAGTCCCCATCTTGTTCCCTGTTATCACCCCCGACATATCCACAGAACCATCAGCAGTGCTCAGGTATCTTCCTAAATTGTGAAACGCTTTGCTGAAGCAAAATCATACCAGAAGACCAATATGTAAAACCGACAAAAATTCATCTGCTGGGAAGGAGGGGGTGCTGCCATTTCTACCCAGACAGCTGCTCAGGTGGCTCCCCGAAAACTCCCCAGATCTCCAGGAAACAGTCTGAAGACGGTGGAAAGTTACTGGGACTGGAAATAAGGAAACCTAGTACCCAGTCCTCACTCTATCCTGATTTATCAATACTAAGCTCTGTAACCTTGAGGGGGTCGTTTGACCTTTACAGATTTCTGTTTTCTCCTCTGCAGCTTGAGGGAGGCAGAGTATATAACCCCTGACTTGCTTGCAGGCCTGAGGTTCTATAAGTTCATTCCGATCCACACATTTTAGTATGTTCTCTGCCTGCCGATACTGCATTTTTACAGAAGACAACATGTGAGGGCAAAGCAATAAACATTAGATTGGGGAAATGTAAGCCTCTTCCCTCAAAAAAGGGAGAGGCGTGAAAGGGGGAAGTGACAAGACTGTGACCCCCTTGTTACCGACTACAGCCACGTATGAGATCAGAACTGAATAGGTAGTCACAAGGAAGGAGGCAGGAAGCCAAGTGAGCAGAAGTCTTCAGGTCCCAGAGAAATGAACGCATTTTCTAAAACACAGTCAAACCAAGTCTCCCTCCCCAAGGAAAGTCCTGGCAACAGAGGTGGCTTCCTACCTGAGGCACGCCCGTGGACACACACGGCCAGGTGTGTCCAGCTGTAAAAGGCTGGAGCTCAGAGACCAGCGGGACTTAACAGTCAGAGGAAACTTGATGAATAAAGGGAAATAGGGAAGCTTCGTCACTGCACACCTCCTCTCTGAGCCCTGCCCGTCTCCATATTTGGAGAGCAGGTAAAATCAAGGGACCACACGGCATCAGAGACTCCCAGGACCCAGATTTTCAAGCAGGGCTACCAGACATGAAGGTGGAGTTAAGGGTCCACTATCTGAATTCTCCACTTGGATGACTATTTTTGTTCTCTTTTTCTTGCATTTGTGTCCACTTGTTTATCCCTTAAATTCCCTTAGATCACCTTTGAAAGCTTCCAACTTGCTTGGACATGAATAAAGGGGAAAGGACTTTACTTTTGACAGTAGAGACTTCAGGAGTCCACTGTAGGCGGGCCTGGTAGGAGCCCCCCACTTAGGAGGGACTGGGCCCCCCTCCACCCCCGCTCAATTTTGTGGGAAGGAGGTGGAGGTCTGTCCGTAAGCTGTGTTTGGACAACAAACACACAATTTTTACTTCTCCTGTAGGCTTCTTTGGGGTGGCCCCAGGGGGTGGTGGAGACGTCATGAAGATCAGAGGGAGAACCACCCCCCCACCCCGACACACCACACAACCATTCTCAACAGTTGGTTGATTAGAATGGCCTGAGGCTGGGGGCTGGGACCACTCCTGCAATCTGGCTGGACAGCAGGAAGACCATTGGAGCTGGGGCAATCTGTGAACGCGGAGTTGGGGTTAAGGTCATCTTGCTCTTCTCCCAGAATGAAGGATGGCTTCTTAGAACCTGCCTCAGCTGTTCCCGGCAGCTAATGTGTGTCCCCTGGCTTTACTCCTCTGGTACAGGAACCACGTCTCTGTTACAACATGAACCCTACTGCATTATAACGATGTGCTTACAAGTCAGCCTTCCCCGCCAGACCGTGAGCTTCCAGAGAATAGAGACCCTCTCTGATCCATCTTCTGATCCTCTGTCAGGGAACAAAGTAGGTGCTCAATCCATGGTTGTAGAAGAAATGACATTAGATATACCTGCTGTGATTCACAGATCAGGTCACCACCCTGATTCAGAGCTTCTATTGCTTTCAGCCACACAGTCATAGATGAGGTATGCCTGAAAGCTTCACTTCCACACAGCCAGGCCGGTCTGTCTGGCATCGTTCTTTTCCAACCATCCCCTTGAGTTTAAAGTTAGCATCGATCTGTTCAAGTATAAAGTCTGCCCCTACCATAAATGCCAATTAATCATGCCCCCGGTGCCTAAGTTCTGTCACTGGCAAGCATACTTTCTAAGCTAAGTCATGCTCTCCTCCTGGGTTCTCTTCCCATTCATAAAAAGTAGCAGGAAGTATAAGGAGACAATTGCCCTGGGGCCACCCATGCTTTGCTTTTACTGGTGTTGGACTATTGTGTTCTGATGCCTAGACCAGAAAGGGCTTGAAGGTGGGGAGTCCCTGAAGGGAATGGACATTCCCTTATTAATCATCTAGGGGAAAAGTAATTCTGGGGCAGCAAACAGTGACTAGTAACACAGGAGAGAACAGACTGGGGCCTGTCTGCAAAACGCCTACGAATACTCAAGTGCAAGCAGAGGCCATGGGCAAAGAGAGCGTCTGCCACAAGGGGGCGGTAGTCGCAGGACAGAGCCGTCCTTGCGAGGGACCCAATGAGAAAGACCAGGGCAGGAGTCGCCCTAGCTAATATTTTAAGTCCCTCTTTGTATACAACTCACTTCTGCTTTTCTTAAGCCCTGACTCTGGTCAGTCCAACATTCCAGTCTAACCCAGTGAATGAGGTATGAGGAAAGGGTCTGGTCCTCCCTCAGGCCCAAGGAGTAAAGGAGAAGCAGTCCCTCTGGGTGGTTGTGGGGGCAGCAAAGGTGGTAGCTTAGGTCTCCAGTGGGAAGGCGATCTGGAGGACAAGAGTTAAAGACTCTCCCCTTCATGGAAGGAGAGAAAGGAAAGAGCATTCCACTGAAGAAGGGGAAAGGCACATAGAGATGAGCTTGGAATAAAACGTTACCCACTTGAAAATGTTCCAGCAAGTCCGCCCACCCAACATATCTTCCGTACCGCACCTTCCCACTTAGAACTGCTTCCTCTTCAACAGATCTATACGGTTCCTAATGGGAAAGCATTTTTCTATTCTGTGCAGAACATCCAGTGCCACCAAGACTGTTGTGACATGTGTCACCTGGATGCCAGTCCTCTGGCAAAATGCAGAGGCCTCTTCTTGCCACTGTGTTTTGAAAATGGAAGTTTCTATGTAAGAGCATGTGAGCAGCACAACATGGCTGCAAGTATGTCTATTCCATCCCGGTGTCAGCTTTCATGCCAACAGCAGCATCTCTTCACATTCCTGCAGAAGGGCCCACGTGGACCTGGGGACTGAAAGAGAGGTAGAGGAGGTGGAGGAGGGGATTCGCCCCTCTCCCCAGTGATTACCCCCATTGCCATAGTGACAGGTGCAGGGTAAGCATGTGACCTAAGATGACCCACGCAGAGCCAAGTTCGGGATGACTATTTGGTGACAGTGGAAAAGCAAGGATGTCATCTTAGTTACAGCTGGAAGCCATTTGGTATATAAGTGGCAAACCAGTCCAAGGACCAAAACTAACACACAGAAGAAGGCAGAACTGAGAGAATCACAGAGAAACCGAGCCAGAGTCCTGAACAAACCAGAGGCAATCTTCCCTGGGTACTTGTCAGTTCTCTATTGTTAAGACCAGTTCAGGCTGAGTGTCCTATGACTGGCAACCAAAACTGTGACCAACTGAAAGAGTTCTAGAAAACAAGGTGATCTAGGATGAGAGGAGAGGGGAGGAAAGTCAGTGCATCACAGGGTCCAGGCTGTGAGAGTCAGGGTAAGTGAGGACTTGACAGAGATATGACCTGGGCAGGTGCAGAACCTCCAAGGCCTGACTGCCGAGCTCTGGCAGAAGCCAAAGAGGAACCTTGAAAAGTAAGCACATAAAAACCCAGCTGAGAACACACTCCTGAATGAATTCAGACATCCTCACAAAGGACCCAGAAATCTCTGCTTTGGAGTCAGACAGATGATGCTTCGAATATGGCCCTTCCTTTATTGGTTGATGATCTTGGACAAGTTTCTTAATGTGTATCAAAATATCTTTATCCTTGGAATTAAAATTAAAACTTAAAAAAAGATTTTAAAAAATCCTTATTCATAAAAATGGGGATAATGATACTTGCCTCATGGTGCTACGTGATGATGAACTGGGATAGAGTGCAGGCTCTGGAACCAAACCACCGTAGTGCAAATCCCAGCCCTGTCCCTGGCCAGTTGTTGCCCTTCGGAGGCTTGGATACTGGCTCAATTGCCCCTAATTTTCTTGTCTGTAAAATGGGAAGAAAAGTAGCACCTAGCTCATAGAACTGATATGAGGATTGATGAGTTAATACATACAAAGTGCTTAGCACAGTATCCGGCAGATAATAATTGTTCAATCACATTTTGCTGTCTTTGTACCCGCCCCCTCCACACACAGTCCTATTGGGAGAATATGCATCAAACACACTAAACAATGCAGACCCGCTGACCCTAAACTCCCACTTAATGTGAGGAATGGAAGGGGGGAAGATGGAGGGAGGGAAAACAAAGCTTATCACAGGGTTGTTTATATAATACAGGTTGATAAACTTCAGTACCCTTCCAAAACTTTTATACAAATAAAAGTAGATCTATAAAATGGAACACTGTGTGTCCATTAAACACAACACTGATAGCTACAGTTAATGTTAGGGAAAGGTAGCTATAATAGGATGCCAAGGGCAAATACGGGTTAACAAGTAGAACGTACAGTAGGATAACACTTTGTAATAAATGCATGTGTGCGCCCAGGGGAAAAAATAGGAGAGTCAAAATGTTAACAGGGGTTATCTTTGGGTGGTGGGATTACAGATAGTTGCTTTCTTGTTTATATCTTTTGATGTTGCCCAATCTCTCAAATAAGCACGACTTTTGCAATTTAAAAAATATGTATTTAGCCATTTTCTCACACACACACACACACACACACACACACAGAGTAAATAACCTTCTAATGGTCATTTCCCCTTCTCCTCACTCCCATTTGCCGGTCCAGCTAGGTTCGTGAGCAGACGCCCAGGACCTTGAGTCTCCTGTCCACTGAACTCCCAACTCCTCAAGCCCTGAATGCCCTCCATCCTCCCTCCCCTCCCCTCCTGTGTCACCCGCCCGGGGTTCTCCACTGTTGTGGTTTCCAAACTGTGTTATTGAATCATTTTTAGAAGTCTTTCCCTCCCACTGGGCTGTGAATAGGCAAGACTCTGGCACAGAGTAGTGATTCATAAACAAGCCCTTCGTTCCTCACCCCTCCTTAAAGGCAGGAACTATAAAGGATCCTTTTTTGCATTCTTGGTGCCCCGCAAAGTGTGTGACACATACAAGTAGATGCCAAACAGGAAGTGAGTGGGTGACCAGCACAGCCACACGGAGTCCTGTGCTCAAAAGAGCCCTGAGCTTGGGGCAGAATGCTCTGCAGTCACTGCCTTGAACTTCTTAATACTTTATCTTGGAGTTGGTGTCTTCTGAGTGAAGTCTGGTGGGACAGTGGAGCGCACACAGGGGCTTGGAGTTCAGCTCACGTGCAGTCCCACCCTTATTGCCTCCTTGGGCTCAGCCTCCCACTCCCCCACCCCACAGGGCCCTATGCTTCAGGGAGCACAGCATTAAAGAGCAAATAAAAAACACAGAGTCCAGTAGAGACCATCTTTAGGGGCACCTGAGTGGCTCAGTCACTTAAGTAAGCCCAGGTCTTGATCTCAGGGTTTTGAGTTCGAGCCTCACATTGGGCTCCCCGTGTGGAGCCTACTTAAAACAAAACAAAACAAAAAAACACAGAGTCCGGTTAAGAGAACGATCATAGAAGAAAGAAACAAGCTTTTCTCCTGCTTTTGGAACGACGGGCCCCAAGCTTTTATTTTGTACCGGGTCCTGCAGCCAGCTCTGCACCAAGTAAATGTTGGTTAAATGGATGAAGTAGTGGAGAGGAGTGAAGAGGAGGATTAGAATCTTCATCTTAGCTCAGCCGATGGCCCCTCCGTCCTTCCAGTAGCTCAGGCCACTTTGTAGACTCTTCTTTGACACCTATCTCTCACACCCGACATTCAATCTGCCAGAAAGTTCTGCCAGTTCTACCAAAATAGATTCCAACTCCTATTTTCTCATTACCCCAACAGCTGATACCCTGGTCCCTGCCACCTTCCCTTTCTCGCCTAGGTTACTGAAGTGGCCCCCCAGTCCTCCTGCCCTTCCAACCTCTTCTCCTCATGCCCACCGGAGTGATGCTTTGACGTTCTAAGTCAGATCACACCATGCCTTCTCACTGCCCTCCCATGGCTCCAAAGAATGAATTTCACTGCTTTAATATTTTTCAGTGCATTTTAAGCAGCTTCACAGTGGAGAAACCTGGCGAACACTACCTTAATCAGTTAAGGAAGGTTGACATCACCTGGGACGCGGTGTGCTCCTACCCTCCCAACAGCATATGATGAGAAGTCACCCACCTGTGGTGTCCTCTCCAAAAACCCATAACCCCCATCTAGTCGGGAGAAAAACATCAGACAAACCCAGACTGGGGCGGGGGAGTGTTCTATAGGATACCTGAACAGCACTCCTCAAGACTATCAAGGTCATGAGAAACAAGGAAGGACTGAGCAAAACTACCCTAGGTCACAGGAGATTGGGGTGACATGCCAGCTAGAGGCAATGTTGGTCCCCTGGCCTGGATCCTGGTACGGAGAGAGGTAATAATGGAAAAGCTGGCAAAATCCAGATAAAAGCTGGAGTTTCATTGACACTTGTTTTTAAAGTTGTCACCTATCTGATTTTATGGAGTTTCATTTTTCAGTCTTAAAACTGATTTTTGTAATTGAAAGATTCATTTCTACCTTATTGATGAATACAATTCCATTCTCCTATTTTTGAGAATGCTTTCTGCCTACAGGTCTGGGTGGATTTTAATTATTTTTTTATTTTCATTCCAGTGTAGTTAACATACAGTGTTATATTGAGTTTTATTTTTTAAATCGGGAGTAGTGGGTATTGAAGTTTGTCAAAGGCCTAATAGTGTAGAAGGTCATACGATTTTTTTTTTTCTTCTTAGATATATTAGCATGTGAATTATATTAATGGCTTTCTGATGTTGAATAATGCTTGCACTTGGGGGGATATATCCCATTTAATCATGAAAAAATGAATTTGAAAAAAGCCAAAATCCTTTAAGGCCTTCCCCATCATTCCCCACCCCCACTCCCACCCTGCCTCATCATCCCTGTGTGTTAGTGTGCTGGGGTGACTCACACAGCAGAGAGTTATTGTCTTACAGTCCTGGAGGCTGGATGTCCAGGATAAGGGTGTCAGCAGGGCTGGTTCCTCCTGAGGGCTGCCAGGGAAAGTCTGTCCCAGGCTTCTGTCCTAGCGCCTGCTGGCTTGTTGGGCATCTTTGGCACGCCTTGGCTTATAGATGCATCAGCCTGATCTTGCCCTCATCATCACTCTCCTCAGATGCCTGTGCCTGTGTCCAAATTTCCCCTTTTTCTAAGGACCTTAGTCATATTGGATTCGGGCGCCCTCTGATGGCCTCACCCTAGCTACTGACATCTGCGACAGTCCTATTTCTAAATAAGGTCCCATTCTGACTTACTGCGGGACTCTAACATATGAAGGGGTGGGGAAGGGAGGGGACCCCTTAGAGCTCTGCTCCAGCCATATTAGCCCGGCTCCTGCCTCAAGAGCATCGCTTCCAATGCCCACTCTTCTCTGACTGCTCTCCTATAGATCTGCCACACGTAACTCCTCCACCTCCTCTGAGAATTTGCTCAAATGCTACCTTCTCACTGAGGCCCATTCTGTGCCCCTATTCCCAACCGCACCTCCCCTAGCATTCCTGATGTCCCTGGCTGTGCTATATTCCAAACATGTTTCCCCTCTCACAGCACTTACCACTTTGACCATACTCCATAAGCTGCATGTGTATTACAAACACTACTGTTTATCGGCTCTCTCCTCTCTAGACTATAAGCTTCGGGAAGGTAGAAATCCTTACCTATCTAGATCACTGTATCTCAAGTGCCTAGGAGACAGCTTGATGATTAGGATGGGATAAAAAGTGGTTGAGGAAAGAAAATCAAAAGAAAAAAGAAAGAAGAAGAAAGAAAGAGAGAGAGAAAGAAAGAAAGAAGAAAGAAAGAAAGAAAGAAAGAAAGAAAGAAAGAAAGAAAGAAAGAAAGAAAGAAAGAAAGAAAGAAAGAAAGAAAGAAAGAAAAAGAAAGAGAAAGAAAAAGAAAAAGTATGGGCTCTATTCCTAGAGACTAGGAGACCCACAAGTCACTTGCTTTCTGTTTATCTCACCTCCAGCCTCTGGGATATAGCACTGAAGGGCAAGCTGACTCCACCATGGCTGTAAGAAATGACTTAGCAAAGCCTGAGACCCCTAGCGATACCGACACCACTTGAGATCAAGCGAGGGCTCGTTGCCTGGGGGGGCAGGGGAGGGGGGTTGACTCTGGGTGGCCAGGGGCTGCCTTTGCAAGATTAGCCCAGGAGAGGGCAGCATTACCTTCAAATCAAAACAAATGGCAGTGGGGACAAGAAATTGAAATCATCTCCGTGAAAATACCCTCTACCCCATAGAAGTTGAGTCAGGCAGCCAACATCCAGAACCTAACATCACCCTTGAAGGTTTGCAAATCCTCTCACATGCATTCATTCTTCCCTCTACATTCCTCCCAGAGGAGAGTTTAGCGGTTGGCAAGAGTGTGAGCCCAGCTGGAGACTTGCAGTTGAAGTTAATCACCCTTGCGCTCATAGGCCACCCAACTTCCAGCGGGCTTCTAGCACTTCAGGGCCCTGTCCCTGTGGTCGTCCCCTTCCCCCACAGAGCCTTCCTCCAGACCAGTGGTTCTCAGTCTCTCTGTGTGAGCCCGCACTTTCAAATACAGCACATTGGGATGCTCTGGGCAAAATCATTCAAAGGTATATTTCAAAGAATTGGAAATCTTTCCACAGTTTTCTCAGAGCTCATTTTTTAGTTGGTGCCAGAGCCCCCGTCTTAGGCAGCTCAGACTGCTGTCAGAAAGCAGCGTGGACTCGGTGGCAGATGGACGTCCAGGCGCCAACACGGTGGGGCTCTTAGTGAGAGCTCGCTTCCGGGCCTGCAGACAGCTACCTTCCCATGGCGTCCGTGCACAGTGCTGACAGAGACAGGGCTCTGGTCTCTCCCTCTCCTCCTAAGGACACAAAGCCCATCACAGAGGCCTCACCCCATAACTTCAGCTAAACCTAATTGCATCCCAAAGGCCCCACCTCCAAATACCATGACACTGGGGGTTAAGGCTTCAACATATGAATTTTGAGGAGACACAATGTAGTCCATGGCAAGCACCATGTCACACTTTAGTAGGATGATTTCCTGTCCAGATCGCACTCTCTTACATACTCATGAGGCAAGGTTCTAGCAAGTTCTAACAAAGTTCTATCTGGTTTTAATGCAGTCTTGCTTGTTTTCTCTTACATGCAGCCAACTGCAGTGAGCTCTACCCTGTGCGGCCCAACCGGCACACTCAACATTCTGTCAGACAGACATGGTTGCCAAAATAGTGTCCTTGGTTGTGGTAAAAATAAACTGTACAAATGGTAGCTGGGGGTGGAGGGGTTGAAGACAGGAACTGGGCAGATGGGAGACAGGTGGGAAAAAGACTTTTCATTCATCATTTTTAATATTTTTTTTTATGTTTGAAACATGTGGGGGTGCCTGGGTGGCTCAGTCAGTTAAGCGTCTGCTTTCAGCTCAGGTCATGATCTTGGGTCCTGGGGTGGAGCCCCGCGTCTGGCTCCCTGTTCTCCCTGTTCGGTGGGGAGTCTGCTTCTCCCTCTCCCGCTCCCCTGGCTTGTGCTCTCTCTCACTCTGTCTTCCTCTCTCTCAAATAAATAAATAAAATCTTTAAAAAAAATGTGAAGTGATTCCTGTTGAAATTTTTAATTTTTTTTAATTTTTATTTTATTCTATTTTTTTTAAGATTTTATTTATTTATTTGACAGAGAGAGACAGCGAGAGAGAGAACACAAGCAGGGGGAGTGGGAGAGGGAGAAGCAGGCTTCCCGCTGAGCAGGGAGCCCGATGCGGGGCTCGATCCCAGGACCCTGGGATAGATCATGACCTGAGCCCAAGGCAGACGCTTAACGACTGAGCCACCCAGGCGCCCCTCCCATTGAAATTTTTTAAATGTAAACTGTAATCTTAAGATGTTAAAAACTAGGAACTTTAACTTGGGGATGACAAGTAGGTGGCGCTGCTGAGAGCCCTGTGTCATTCACCACCCAGAGAGCCAAAGAGATCTTCAGCCAATTCCACGAGGCATCTTTCTGGGCCTGGGCCTAGAGAACTGTCCCATCTCAGCCCCCTCCACTCCAGACCCCTGACTCCAAATCAGCTCACCAAGACTCCCTTGGTCCTTCTCTCTTTCCTGTCACTAGTCTGTCTAGAGGCCTAAACTCTCAGTCCCCACACTATAACCCAGGGCATGCTGGCCTCTCCTCATCTCCCACCCGGCCCTCTCTGCCTTTATTGTTTCTAGACGTAATTCCAAATAGCTCCCCAGATGTACTCCCCCAGTCTCCTGGGCACCAAAGAAACCTCGGGCCTGGGTTTTAATCTCACCCTGGCAGTGAATTCTCATTAACAAGCACTGACTATTGAAACCCACCTGCCTGCCCTGGAGACCTTCCCATTTTCTGTCACTTATAATAAGGAGCTTGATTTATACTTGAATATAAATATATCCAGCTCCCTGCTGAAATTATCTCCCCTGCTCCCAAGGCCCCAGACCCAATGAGTTTGTTTGGCTGCACGGAGTTGGTCTCTTTGTTTGTTCATTTAAATTTAGAGTTGGTTTTCAACGTTTAAAAATTTAGACTTATTCACATTAGAAACCATCAGAGTTTCTATGCTGTCCTCTAAAATTTGGGAGATCTGGCAATACTGAGCCCATGGCAAAAATCAGCTGACCCTGGTACAGGAAACAACACACTCATGCCATCATCTGATTTTCAACGGAAGTGCCAAAGCAGTCAGATGGGGAAAGGAAAGTTTTATCAAATGAACCATTGCTAGAATAGTGAGGTAGGGGAAAAATAAGAACCTTGACCCCTACATCATACACAAACATTATTTTGAGATGAATCAGCAGCCTAAAAGTAAAAGCTAAAACTGTAAAGCTTCTAGAAGAAAACATGAATGAATATCTCTATGACTCAGGGGCAAGCAAAAAGTTTCTCAGACAAATCAAAGAATGCAATAACCATTTAAAAATGTCTTTGCTGGGGGCGCCTGGGTGGCTCAGTTGTTGGGTGTCTGCCTTCGGCTCAGGTCATGATCCCAGGGTCCTGGGATTGAGCCCTGCATCAGGCTCTCAGCTCTGCGGGAAGCCTGCTTCTCCCTCTCCCACTCCCCCTGCTTGTGTTCCCCCTCTCTCACTGTGTCTCCCTCTGTCAAATAAATAAATAAAATCTTGAAAAATTAATAAATAAAAATTAAAATGTCTTTGCTAAATTAGATTTCATCAAAATCAAAATTTTCTGCTCATCCAAAAGACACCATTAAGAAAAGGGCTAG